GTGTGTGTGTGTGTGTGTGTGTGTGTGTCACCTTGTCTCCAGGTGAAAGGTCAGATATTTGCCGGACGGCGATGTCAATCATCACCATCATGTCAGTGCGGTAGAAGATGTCAGCCGTCTCTCTGTTGGCAAAAACATCCTGCAGAAACTTGAGCACAGAGTGCGGTGCAGGCGGGGTGTGTTTGAACATGCACACGGGGTCATCTGGAGAGGAATGGACAAAAGATGAAGAATGATATGAAAAATAAAAATGAGGAAGCTTCAGGAATAGATATTAAAAATATGGAAAATATGACAAACAATGTTTTAGTTTTTTTTACCGCCTCTGTTCAGAAGCAGAAGAACTTTCTCTGACAGGATCTTGACATTTTTCTTCTTCACCTCCTGCATGATCACATTGTTGCTGGGAGCTGGACGACACAGACACAAACAAGCGTGAATCATAAAACAATAAAAGCTCCTAAAGATGTCGTCTGTCAGAAAGGCCTACTGGGGATGTTCTCACTTGTGTGGTGCAGGTTGAAGGCCAGCAGGAGGTTGAGAAAGGTGTCGGGCAGCTGCTCAGTGGGGTCGGAGGGAAGCCCGTCCTCCACAACATCCAGCAGGAACTGAACAAAGTCATCATTCAGGTGCTCTGAAAGGAGGGAGGGTCAGGATTACAGGCACTCTGTATAACTTGAATGTGCTTTCTAAATAAAAGTGCAATTTCATTATTTGGAAGAATCGACTTTCTTCACCAACAACACATACAAAGCGTCTTCATACCATAGTGATGATATGGCACCTGCTCGCCCATTGAGAAGATCATAGTCAGCACCAAAGCTGTGTAACACATCTTCTGATGCTCTGGGGAGAGAAAGACACACAATAACCATAAAGATATCTGAGTAAGTGTGTGAACAATGAGAGGAGGCACAAACGTGTCTGTGGTTTCACCTTGTGTGTCATTCTGCAGGTCTCTGGCCAGCTCCATGGGCAGGATGGAGTTGAGCAGCGTGGAGATGAGAGCGGCGTCCAGGCTGCACATCGCCCCGAACACTTTGAGCAGCAGCAGCCGCAGCGACACACGGAGCTCCTGCCCGCACACATGGTGGCAGCGATGAGCCAAATATCCACACTTACACATTACTTACACAGACTACTGAGGCTAGAACAAGTGCACCCAGAGGACTGCAGGGAGGTTTGAAACATTCACTGGGCAGAATGTGTAATGAGCAATAAATATTAGTTGAATATTAATGATGAACAGGTTCTAGTAAACTGACAATACAAATAAACTTAATTAAAAACCATGACCACAAACACCAGCATTTTGTTTACAGAAACATTTTTACTAACTCTAAAATTATTATTTTTCCTGGACAGATCAATTTTCAGTGACTTATAAATATCTTTCCTCGATTCACATCTCATCTACCGGGAACACATCCATAATCTAACGAAGACGTTCAACCAGAAACTGTACACATAGACTAAAATCAACCATATATCACCCACACTGTTTCAGACACATGCATTTCTTCCTATCATGCATTTCGTCCCTCACTATGACAGAAACCATGAGACCAAAGATTCATTACACTCTGCACTGCATCGCCCCAACTACACAAACAACGTAGCCTCCAAATGCTTTTTCCAGATCCTTGAACAATAACACCTCCAGCACCTCCCCAGCACTTAGCGCCTTACTCCCGAGACTCAACATAAGAATGCAACACTAGATTAACAGCACTTGCACTTCTTCCGGTCCTTTCCTTACATACACATAATCTGGAATGAGATCACACTGGAGCAAAAACCACTGTCACACACTGAAAACACACATTTACACAAAACTTAGTGGAAGGTCAAACCTGCAATGACTAATTTTGTTTCATTGTTTTGTTCACCTGATTGTTTCTATTTTTTTTTTACCTTTTTATTGAATTGGAATGTGATTTTACGTACTGTATATGTTTTTATCACTCTTGTCCCAAGTGGGAGAACATAGTTATATACTGTCAGGCCCACAGCTAGCAATGGTATTTTTCAATTGCTCTGTTGTCTTTTCCTGCTAGAAATAAAATGAAATCAAATAAATATATAATTTGAGTGTCATTATTTTTTTCTTACCATCTGGTAATATGAAACCAGAGAGATGATGCTCTCGCAGTGGTTGGCCTTGCACATCCTCTTACACACCTCTGGATCTGCATCAGTCTGAGGAAAAAAAGGTCAGAGCTTTTAGATATAAAAGCAAAGATCTAATAATATCATCACAACTATGTAACTTCATAATCTGAACACTCCAGAGGATTACAGAGCTCATTAAGAACTCATCCGAACATCCCAACCCTGATCTGAGTGTTGGTCGAGACGAACTGCCAACTAAAAAAAATATTTGGCAGCGGGAGGGTTCACAGATTTGTCTTTAAACACACTGTTGGATTTGTAAAGTCGTCTGAGCCGCTCTGATCCTATCAAACATGTCTGGTATTTACAACATAACATCTGGACGGGTCCTGTGGCCACATCACAGATTCTTCCAGAGAGAAAACTTTATATCGATCGATGAAAAATGTTCCTAAGCTGCTTTTTCATATCAGTTTAACAGATGTTACATTGCTGTGCATATTAATACATAATAAGTCTAAAAAACATTTATTGCTTTTGTTGTGATGTCTTTTGCAACTTCTGGACACACACTTATGAAAAGTGAAAAATAAATCACGCCACTGCTGTAGTTTAATGTGGCTCTCATCAAAGATCCTCAAATGACTGGATTATTGTGCAGATGCCAACTGTTTGAACTCAGCTCGGTAAATCCAGTTTTTCTCATCATGCAGCTGCAACATGGAACAATACAACAAGTAAATAATAAAATAATAGACAGAGCAATCTTAGTTTTTATCCTTTGGACAATCTATATTTTTACATCACCTTATTTTACCCCCAGCTGTTCTAGTTTTAGTTGATTCATTTGCTTTAAATTCAATTCAATTTCCTGTATTTATTTCTACAACTTCGACTCTTGCTCTTGCATTTGCAATTTTTCAGATTTTACGGTTTCTTATTTGTGTTTTCTTGGAGACTTAGAATTCTTTGTTTATTGTGTGTACTTGGCTATAATGGAAATGTATTCCTGAGTTAAAATAAAGTGAATGAATGAAAAATGTATCTTTAGTTAGATATGTGTCATATCCATCTTCGGTCAGGATGTAACAAACCTTCTCCCACTTCACCAGCAGCCTGTTAGAAACATGAACTCTTAGACGAGAGACATCCAGAGCTCACTACATCATACCAGAATCTTCAGCAGCTCCTCGAGGTAGCAGGCGATCAGAGCGTGGTCTTCGTGAAGCGCCCAGCTACGCTGCTGGGAGTCGTCACGGTGACGGGCGAGGTCACTGAAGATTACCTCCAGCCGCTGCTCGTCATGACACACCTGACCCTGCGGCAGAGCTGCACTCGAAACCTACAGAGACATAGACACACCCACATATTCATTATAACTTGATTTGCCAGTCAGATTAACTTTAATGATCCGTTCTCTGAAATACAAAGGAAGTTAACTGATCAAGTAAAAACATATTATATGTGTGGGCATTGAACTACAGAGCATAGTGTAATCTTTACATTGGCTCTAATAAAAGCCCCTACAGTGTTTTATATCTTTCACTCATGCAGTAACTGTAAAGTTACTCTAAACCAGTGTATTCATACTTCTTCACTTGCTTTCATACCTACCGAAGAAGCTATTTTCTGTAATTCATTTTAAATGTATGACCAAACAAGATATACATCCAAGCAACAATTTTCTTATCTTTTCTTGATCAGTATTTCACTGAGGGTTCAATATCTAAATGCACTGAGATTAGAGTGAGAGATTAGATCACTGAGTATTTCAGGCATAACACTCAAAAGAGGAGGTGAATACAAGCCAGCAGAAAAAGCTTTCACCAATTGCCGTTAAACAGGGAGGAAGAAACAGAAAAGTCTGCCAGGAAATAATCAGCAGTTCTGTCATGCTTGGTTTGAAGCTGCAAAGAGTGAATTTAAAAACAGGAAATGAGAGACATTCTGTCCCCTGCATTTTAAAATGTCCAAAATCACCCATCACTCACTGTATAGTGAATTTGTAGTGCTGTCTGGATGCTAAGTGAAAAGAAGTGTAGAGATATCTATATATATCTACCATCATGCATTGTGCTCGTGTTGAATTAAGAAAAATAGCAAAGAGATGAGAGCTGTGAAAACAAAACCTCAGATAAGCAACGACAACCAAGAATGGAGCTGCAACAGTCCCATTATGAAACCACATTTGAATTAACTGGAGCTGCATTTTCATTAAGATCTGCAACAAATTGCTCACACTCAACAACATCAGCTAAACATGAAAATCCTGGAGCCCATTTAACTGGTTCTTCCTCAGGTCATGTCTCACCTCTCCACAGATTTCAGTCGTTTTGGTGGAATCCTACTAAATAACAACCAAATAAACAGACGAAAACATATGCATGGATGCGTTCCAAACGTAAGTCAAGTATTAACTGTGTGACAGGTACAATGTACCTGATGCCACAGAGAAAATAGTAGCAATAGTAGTGAAGATAGTAATAGTATTATCCTATTGGACAAAGGTGTTTTTTTTCATTTTGCTGATAACTTCTTTGCATTGTCCTCCACATGGAGCTCTCTATACACTCAGTGTGGAGGAGTGAATGACTGAGTGATTTCAGACAGAGCCAGTGACTCTGAGAAATATCGAAGCTAAATGCAGCTGTAACTTTGAACCACACTGGTTTAGGCTCCATGATGCTGAATCCACATGAAAACAAATCTGACCTTGCTCTCCACCAGGGAGAGGAGAACTTGCTCCAGGGCGGAGGATGCTTGAGGCAAAGTGGTCTGCAGATGGCCGACCACCACGCCCACAGCGACCCGTGACAGCTCATAACTCAAGCTTGTGTTCTTCCGCACCAGCTCAATCAGCTCAGCCCCGATGGTCATGGGCACCGGCTCAGAGATAGTGGGGCTGCCAGGGGCACTTTCAGCGACAGACGGGGGCGCAACGGGCCATTCGCTTTCCGGCTGGTTCTCCGCAGCGGGCTCTAAAGTGGTGGTGGGCTGAGGAGGCTGAGGAGGCTGAGGCGCCAGGCCTTTCTTCGCAGGAGCAGGCTGAGGGGGGGAGTCAGAGGGCAACATTTCTAAAGGCAGCGCAGGGGGCTTCACACGAGATGGCACTGGAGGGGGGGGAGTGCTGGAGACGCTTGGCAAACTGACATCAGAGGAGACCAGGGAGGGGCAGGAGCCCGACTCCAAAGAGGTGGTGCTGATCGAGAGGGAGGGAGCAGGGGACGGGGAGAGAGAGGACACTCTGGAGGGGACCTCCGGCTCAGCTGACAGAGAGAGAGAGAGGGGGGGAGAGAGAGAGAGAGAGGGGGGGAGAGAGAGAGAGAGAGGGGGAGAGAGAGAGAGCTCCAGTTACAGAGCGGACACCGTGAGCTAAGACTAAGAATAGAGTCTGTTTATGTAGTAAAGAGCTGAAGCAGGTAGCATCAGCTAAAAGTAGCAAAAAACAACAACCCTGTCACATGACTGTAAAGTGGAACACTGAGATGTTGGTAATGAGCTGCAGAATGAAACCCCTCGCTCCCGCTGCTCTTCACTAACCTGCAGGTCGACTGCTTCTCTGTTTCTCTGGGGGAGGAGGGGTGATCGGAGCCGCACGTCGAGGCTGAGGGGGCACCTGCAGGAGGGGAGTCCACCATTATTATTGTATAGGGCTATAAACAGTTTGTTTATAAATGGTTAAATATAGAAAATGACAGAAAATACTGAAAGAATGTCTGTTTGTGTCATTAACAAGTCCAAAATCACAGTGAAGCACAGCCATGCGTGCAAAACTGTGTTTAATCAAAACAAATCTAATTAAGAAACATGTTTTATTGATTAATAGATAACTTTGGTTGTAAGTTACAATAATAAATGAAAAACACTGATACCTGATAAAAGCCCTGCTCTCTTTGCATATTGTCCATGCTTCCTGATAACGGCACGCTGCTGTGGCGTCCATAGTCTCGGTTAAGGCCGTTGGGCGGAGGAGGAGTTTGACTGAGAGATATTTCACTGCTGGAAGTTGGGAGGCCTTGTTTCTGAATGGAGGAGGAGGAGGAGGAACTTCGTCGTGCGAGGGTCTCCTTCCTATGATGGATCAACTTCCTGCGACAGAGGAGGAAAATGACCTGTGTGGAGGACACTGATGGGACAATGTCTTACTGTTTAACGTGACACATCGGACATGAACATTTTGAACTCACTGCAGAACGTCTCGCTGCTCCAGGTTGTATTTGCCTCCATTTTTTAAGGCCACGTTGTGGATGCCTTCAATTGCTCTGTCGATGGACTGCAACACCTCATCCTGCTCTGGAGCCTGGCAGATTCAGAAAAAGAGAACATGAAGGGAGGAAGATGAACAAATCAAATATGCATTATCGTGGCAGCATGCTTTAAAGAAAACAGGAGAGAATAGTGGCCCGGGGACATGTTTGTGTGTGTGTGTGTGTGTGTGTGTGTGTGACTGCAGGCAGAAACAAACTGGGGCAGTTATCTAACAAAAAACAGCTTTTTCCACCAGAGTGTTTCAGTGAGGCCTCACATTCAGCCTCATTAAACCTCCTCGGCCAATGTCATTACCAACAGGAGAGAGCATTCCTGTCTGAGCCCATGATTTTACAAATACATGCTCGGACTAGTTCAGTGTGAGTCTCCCCACAGTAGAACACATGAACTGAACAAGTCATCAACTCACATTTATCTGAGAAAATAGAAGAACGAACTCCCATTGAGACTGACCGGGGAGAGATTGCTGAGAAATGAATATCTAAGGAAGGAACAAGTTGTAAGAACCTCCATCAACCCAGACAAATATCTGTCCATCCACTTTATTCCAGCACACTGAAGACGATTTGAGAGAGACTGTCCCATGACTCAGGTCTGCTCACAGACTGAGGGGGAAGTGGAACCTGAACAACCTGAGACTCTTCAACCTTAGTTATGTGACTTGTCTTGCAGCATTAAAGGATTACAAATGGGTTTGTTGAGTGTGTGTTGTTTGGACCCAAACACTTTATCTGGTTTTGTTGGTAAAACAAACTGGGTGTGACTGAGCGATGTCCAAAGCGATGTGGAGGAAGGTAGCTACTTATTAAACAATAAGAAGTTCAGTTGAGAGTCTACAGAAATAATTGTGGCCTTGCTGTTTTGTTCTTTGGAGCTGTCTTCTCTCATATTCTGGACTGAATCCCTCCATCCTGTCCTCTCTCATCCTCCTGTCCTGCACCCCCCCCCCCCCCCCCCCCCCCCCCTCTCTCTCTCTCTCTCTGTCTGTGACACTGCAGTCAGCAGCTGCAGTGCTGCTGTGCAGGAGGCCATGTCTCTACGATAATGCAGCCTCCCTCTCTTCCTTCCAATAATTCATGTGTTCCTCAGCAAACACGCAGAAATCAGCAGTCAGCTCCAGCAGCAGGGGCCTGCGCTGCTGCAGCTGTACACAGGCACGCACGCACGCGCACGCACGCACGCACGCACACACACACACAGGATCCGTCTGTCTAAATCCCATCAACCCTCTGATCTGGGTTACTCCTCAGTCCCAGTTCACATCCCCTCAGACAAACAGTGGCCATCGGGCGGTGTTCACCTGGATTTTCTCGATGTACGAGGCGGGGATGTAGCCGGTTTCCCCGGAGCTGCAGCGGGAGCCCAGCCACCAGTGATTGTTGCTCCTCTCCAGGATTAGGAAGCTCTCCCCGGCCGCGAAGTGCAGCGAGTTGGGCTCCGCGGATCGGAAGGCGAACAGGGAGCGGTACATACTTTATAGCGACACCGAGAATGAGCCGAGAAGAGCCGGGGCGGTGTCCGGGGATCGGCGGTGTCCGAGTTGGAGTGCGAGCGGTGTCTGAGGCGGGTTAGAGAGTCTGTGGAGGCATGGCACCGCAGGGTCTCTGGCTGCTGCTGCTGCTGCTGCTGTCTATTTACAATCCAGCCCGATCATCTGACCCGGGACCGCTGCCAGTCAACGCCGCAGGGGGCGCTGTCACACCCTGAACACGCCTCCCAGGCATTTTAATCAAGCACAGAGTGAAGAGAAGCCTCGTACTGTTTTTATTCTATGAAGCAGACATCGTCTTAAAATACGTTTATTTACTTCTGATGAAGGAGAATCATCAATCTGACGCTTGAGGCTTTAGTGGTGGGATTTATTCACTCTACTCTCGGGTTTGTTTTTGTTTTATTTCATTATAAGACACTTTTTTAAATCAACAACTTTACAGTATGAATAATAACAAGTCTAGAGAATAAGGATTTACACATGGACTGTTTGTTTCAGGGCTGCGTCTCCAGACTTGTTTAAACTATTCACTATAACGTGAATAAGAATAAAAACACTAAATCAAATTAAAAAATAAATAAATACAAATTCAAACTTTGAGAATCATCTTCAGTCCAGAAGTATTTAACACATTTGTTTTCTTCCTCTTACATCCTCCGGACTTGGAGCTCGATTTTTCGTTACACAACACCGGAAATGAGCGTTTGGTGTCACATTGAACTGTGCCCCCCTGTGTGCGAGACAGAGCAGGTTGATTCCGCCAACATGTCCTCCGCTGTGCTGTGCAGCAGAGTCCTCCAGAGAGCGGGACACGGGTTTGTCTTCTCCTCCAGGGCTGTGCCCGCCTCCTCCAGGTATGATGGGCTTCCACATTCAGGGTTCATCATTCATTCAGGGGGGACACAACAAAGTGTTTGGTTAAATAACTCGTATAATCAGACTCCTCTCTGTGAGACCACCACATTTAAACGTCATGTTGTGAAATGTTGGGTCAGTTATTATAAGCAGAGCTAAGGATGAATTTAAAGACATATTTTCATGATTCCCATAATAAATAATATCAGTAAACACAACAGCTGCTACAGTCCTGTTGGTTCAGCAGAGCAGATTTACCTGAAGACAAGAGCTGTAACCATCATTTTAAACTGTCAATTAATAACTTGATCATTGAATATAACATTTTTATTTCCAGACTAATCATGAGGTTTCGTGGATTACAGAAAACTGTGAAGCTGTAACCAGGGCATCTTCTGAACGTAGTGAATTTATCTGTTCACATAGGTGGAAAAGATGTCAACAACTGGGAAACAAAACTACAAGCTAGTATATAATAAAACAGAAATAAATACATTTAGAAATTAAATATTATTCATCTTTGTCACTAACATTTACGTTTGTTCAAAGCCCACTAGACATAAAGAAAATAAACTATATTATCTATGTTTTATCCAATGTTGTTACCTGTGATCAGTGGTTACTTATTGTTTTCTGAAGACATTTCATTATTATTATTGTTTTCTATTATTTGAATAGTTTGAACTGGCATATTACTCCATCAGGATTTCATTTAGAATAAGCTCTAACCCTGTCAGTCAACATCTGGCTCCATCTTGTGGAGTTAAGCACGACATCTACACTTTCTTCAGGCCAGGACGCCTCATGAGCTCCAATCCATCACATCTCAGAAACAATGGATTGCTGAATTCTGCTGCAGCTCTTCAGTGAAAGCAGAAATGTTTGTTTCATGGCTCATGTCTGTCGTGGCTCCTCCTCAGTCCTCTTTCCTGCAGTGACAGGCCCAAAGCTTTTTTGGCAGTCAGCCTCCTCAGTAGGTTGGCATCAGATCTATGGCTTTTAAACTGGGCCATATGGCAGCAGCTCTGCAGTGCAGTCTGTTTTTGTGAAATGCAAAGAGATGCAGAATACAGTGATGAGAGAAGTGCACATAATTACATAGTGTTTTATGACTATAGTTAACTTTGTAATGATGATCAAAATAATAATAATACAAATAAAATGATCAGACTTCTGCATTTAAAATCTTATCAGTTCTAACTGAGTTTCCCTGTCTTTCATTCCAGCCCATTTCTGTCTCGTGCTCATAGACTGGGGCCCAGTGATGATGAGATGTACCAACGTACCTCGGTGTCCGTCATGCAGAAGGAGCCGGGCAGTGGGGTAATGATCCACAGCTACAGTTCCGGAGGGTTCAACATCGATGGTAATCGAGTGTTTGGACCCTGTGCTGTGCTGCCTCCTGCAATCCTGCAGTGGAACGTGAGAGAAATATACAAACTAACCTCACATGAAGCACTTTACAGCCTCATGCTTTGTGTGTCATTTTAAACAATGTTCTGTGTTTCTTATGAGCTTAAATCTCTGTTTCTGCAGGTTGGCACTTATAAAGACATTACTGAGGAAAGTGTCTCACTCTTCCACATGCTTGAACCAAGAATAGGTAAAAAAAAAAAAAAAAGATGCAGATCAATATATGGAGAAATTAATTAAAACAAACACAAAGTGTCTTACTGGTACACTTCAATGACCTTTGACATTATCTACACATATCTGGAAAAATTCTTACGCAGTTAATTCCCATCTGGTGATTGGGGGAGTCTCAGTATATTATTTACATCATGTTCATATTATCAAAACATTAAGCGAAACCTTGTGCTCTGTATGAAAGCTTCTTTATGCAGTTATTTGAAATGTACCTTGATTTCATCACTCATCTATGGTCATATAAGTTATATAGAACCCAAAAAAAACTTTCCTGATGCATGTCAACTGACTTATTTTCTTTTTTTCCTCTATTCAGAGATTCTTGTGCTGGGAACAGGCGCACGGCTTGAACGAATCAACCCCTCAGTCCTCGCTCTACTCAAGAGTAAAGGCATCGCTGTGGAAGTGCAAGACACGGTAAAGTAGAACAAGTGTATCACTGTAGTTAAGAGCATATGTTCATCCTGACATGGTGAAACACTAACAATAACAAAGATGAACAAAAGCCTTGTTCAGACCTGGGGGACAGCTCTAAGTATGTCAGGTCCCACCATCTCCATATGTGTCTCCTGTGAGGTCACATTGTGATCAAATCTCACTTTGCTACATGCAAATCAATTTGTAGATCATTTCTATTAACAAAGACCAAATGATTTTAACCAGTCTGACTAAAAAGGTGTGTGTGTGTGTGTGTGTGTGTGTG